AAGATGTATATCCCTTGGAGAATTTGAGCGAATTTCTTTTAAAGTGCTCCAGTGCAATCATAATACAAAACGTTGAGTTCCAGGATCTTTTTGTCGAGTTAAACGTTGCAAACACAAACAACTACGAATATAGAGAGGGAAAGGAAATCAGCACCCACTAGTGGAAAGTAAATCCCACTAGTGGGTGCTGATGTCGCACCCACTAGTGTCTTTATAAATGAATAAAGAAAGAAAAGATGTATATCCCTTAGAGAATTTGAGAAAGTAAATCTCTCTGTTCTGTTATCGCTTGAAGCTAAAGAATAAATCATATATATATTGTTCCTTAGAAGGTGGTTACAGAAGGCAGGAAAACCAGCTGTAATGACAGCTGGTATAACTGTAAGACAGCTATGACAAGTTTCTAGAACTAGCAGTTATAACAATATAACAAATCAGTAACAATAAATTCAATAATGGCATTAGTGCACTGCGTATAGGTATCTCATCTAATGAACCACAATTGCTTTATGTTTTCCCTTTTTTTCTGAAGCAGTACACTCTTGCTTCTTGCTTGGTTCAGTCGATAGAACCCGATCATCTTGGCCAAGCCTTTCAACACTAAAATCAATCAATTACTCAAGAGATATTGCACAATATTTGTCTTCTCCTTCCATGTTTGGCTCCTCACATCCTCCTATTTCATCTCTGATAATCTGAGCCTCTTTTGAGTTGACTTCTAGTGCAGAATACTTCATAATCTCTGTATTTTTTCACTCGAAAACGGTGTGGACTCTGCGACTTGACGATGCAGGAAACTAAGCTTGGTTCCACTATTAGTAAAAAGCAATGTCATCTTTTTGCCAGGGTGGAGATCGCTGTACAAGTAGAATATTGTTGAGGCTGGGTTTTTTTTATGGTTATCTAGGATCAGGATCATCAAGCTGGTGGCAGTCCCCTTTGAAACAATATAATCAAATATTTTATGGTTGCCATGTTTTTTCTACCATAATCTTATTAATTGTTCCTATTATGTGTTTTCCACGTCAAATGATGCAGAATAATCACCTTCAACCATCTAGCTCAAAAAATCCGTCTCCAAATCATTTGGCGAATTTCTTTTAGAGTGCTGCAGTGCAATCATAATACAAAACGTTGAGTTGTTAGATGAGATATGGAAGTTTTTTTTTTACTTGAAACTTGTACATATATACAATCATTATTATTTTATATTTCATTTTATTAATTTAAGTAAAAAAAACAAGTGTGGCGAGATTCGATTCAAACTCTTAACTACTTAGTATAAAAACATATAAATCTTAAAACTTAATCTAAATGGTTTATATTAATCTCTCACAGTCCAAATTCCTTACACTATATATGTATACATATGTTTGTTTGTTTGTTTTTTCTTTTAGTTATTGATCAAGGTTTCTTCCATTCATTATGGGATCACATTTTCTAAGCATAAATACCAAATTGCAACTGTACTTCTGAATGTGTATACCTGATAAGGCAGGTTTTTCAGGATCACCTTCTTAAGGAAACCAGGGCTTCCACACCAAAACACGGTGAGGGCGTGCGTGTAAATAACAAACATAAACAGCTACGACAACAGGGAAGGGACCGGAGTACATAAATATTATAAACAGCTGCGACAACAGGGAAGGGACCGGGAGTACATAGATATTATAACCAGCCACGACAACGGGGAAGGGACCGGAGTACATAGATATTATAAACAGCTACGACAGCAAGGCAGCAAACTTATTAAAGCCCTGATCTGCTGATCAATACCGAGCTTTTACCTATGGTCATGGAGTCATTTTTTTATCCTTATTTGGCACCCAAACGAGAGTATCACTATCTAGAAATTTTGTCACTCGAAAATGGTATAGACTCTGCGACTTGACGAGGCAAGAAACTAACCTTGGTTCCACTATCCGTAAAAAGAATTTTCATTTTTTTATCTGGATGGAGATCGTTGTATTGGTAGAATATCGTTGAGTCAGGAAGGGCAGACTTTAGGGATTTTTTATCGCCTCTTTTATAGTGTCGTTTGTAAACTCTTCTATACGTTCTTTGGATAACAGCAGCACTTACGTTTTCATTAGCGAATTCTCTGGTGATTGAAGGATAATGACCAGGTTGTAGAAGATATTCCAGGGCTTTTGGCAATGGAGTGTTGGGCAACCTTGAGTACCAATACTTCTCAGTAGGTGGAGAAATATCGCTAGGGAGGAAGGTGGCAACTTTCTTTGGAAAAGGGACATTGTCAGCAGCCACAGCCACTGTCGTGTGGGTTACACCGATTGTATTGGCAGCGGTGGAGAAGGTAGTGTAGAGGGAGAGAGTGAGAAAGGAGAGGAGGAGCAGTGCACAAGAATTGGCTAGAGACATTTTTTGAAGATAATGAAGAAGTGAGCAAGTGACATTATTTATAGAGGTAAATTTGTTTATATCCTGTAAATCGACACGCGTGTGAAGTGAGAAGTTGACAAGTCAAAGGTAGAGACAAGCTCAAAGACACAAGGTCTGCGTGGTAGCCAATAGGGTTTGAGAGAGAGAGAGCGAAATCGAGTTGCTCAAGGGACGAGGCGTATCATTTTGCAATCGACTCCTTTCATTATTGACGCTCGCTGACAGAGCTGTCAGCACTGCTTGCACTAGGCAGTGATGGCAGCTTTGTCCTTGCACCATCTCTTACGGGCGGTGCAAGTGTGTGGGGTTGATAGTGACCAGGCCTTCCCTCACTCCTGTCTTTGTTTGCCCTGCATTCAAGACGCGATAATTGGTGAAATAGTATACTTTGTATATTAGCGAAGAAAATTAGAAATATTGACAAAAAATGGTATAGTTTAAAAAATAATTAGTCAAATAGTATACTTTGTATACGTGATAATTAACAATTATGATATTTAAAAATATCACGTTTAGATATGGTGAATATATCGATTGAATATTATAATTTTAAATTGTGACAACTTACCATATCAGATTTAAAATTATGATAGATAGTGTTTTTTAACCTGGTTCGTTTTTCTCTACCACCGTTGTAGCTTTTCTCTTTATAAAAAACTTGCTGTTTGTATTCTTTCTTTTTAAAAAAATTTGTCGATACTGCCGTCCTAGCTTTAGATTGTGTTTGCTGTCCGCCTGTTTTAATATCAGTGATGAAACAAACACAATAATATATTTAATAATTAAAAAAAATTATATTTTACACTGTGAGACATATTAAAAAATTAAATTTGAAATATAATTTTTTTACAGTAGTTTTTATATATGTTTTAATTAAGTTTTGTAAATATTCTATCAAAAATGTTTGAAAGTATTGTTATAGTTATTTTTTAAAGTGTTTTTCATTCAAAAATACATTAAAATAATATTTTATTTATTTTTTAAAAATTATTTTGATATCAACATATTAAAATGATTTGACAATACTAAAAAAATATTAATTTAAAATATAAAAAAATTAAAATTCTTTTAAAAGCGTTTTTTTAACACAAAAACAAATAGATATTACCTAAATATTTTATACATATTTTTTTATTATTTATAAATTTTAACTATAATTTTTACCAACTATCTAAATCTAAATTAATAACTATTAGCAACCTATCACAGCTTAGCACTGGTGACACTACCAATAACTACCAATAACTGTGAGAGTCAATTGAGAAATAAAGATACACGAGATTCTTGGAGAAACAAGGGTGGAGACTTTCACAATCTACCCTCAATTACAGGAGAGACATTGAGTGATCTTGGAGCTCTAACGGCAATATGTTTAAACCAATATGACAATCCAATCAAGCCTATAAAATCATAAAGTTCAAAATTACAATAACTCTACATGGTAGTTTAGCAAACTTACAGGGATTCTCTGCTGACAAATTCCCTATTATCAAGCTATCATTGTAACAAACTTCTGTCGTGAAGATGTCATCACAACAAATTATCACTGTCATTAACCAAATTTCATGGGATTTCCCTTTTATTTTATAGCTGAATCATTATATATTATGAGTTTAAATACTTCACTTGCATAGCCTGGTTGTTTATGTTGAAAAATAAGAACAGAGACTAAATATTTATTTGCGAAATACTCTGTTAGCTCAGTTTATTTTTCTTTATGGTATTAAAGCCTCTGTGAACACTAGGTGTAAGATATCGCAGATACTACAGCTTATCGTCTCTTTATCTTACTTCTTATCTCCGCTCACTTCTGTCACAATGACTACCTTATCACTCAATGTTGGGAACTTCATCACCGTCCGACTCACTCCAAACAATTATCCCTTGTGGCGTGAACAAGCTCCGGCTCTTGATGAGAGTCAAGAAATGGTCATGAGACATCTCACAAATGAAGATCCCGCTCCAACAAAATACATAAATATAGAAAACTCAACCCCACAATTAACAGATTCCTTTATAGCTTGGCGAAAGTCAGATCGTCTCCTTCGAGAGTGGATCATTGAAACTTTTTCAGAGGAAACTCTCGGACGCGTTGTTGGTCTCGACACAGCTCATGTTGTTTGGGAGGCTCTAAAAAATGCATATGAGCAAGACTCACAAGAACGTGAGTTCACACCATGACAACAAGTAACCTACCTTCAAAAGGAAGACAACACAACAATAACAAAACATATTCGAACCTTTAAAGGTCTCTATGACAACTTATCAGCAATTGAAAAGCTTATACCAGACCAAGAAAAGGTCTTCTGCCTTCTTACCAGCCTTGGCTCTCATTATGAAACATTCACAACAACCATGTTGAAGCCCCCTAAGCGGCCATCATACTCTTAGTTTCTCAACTCCAAAACTTTGATCAAAGCCATCATACTCTGAGTTAGTTTCTCAACTCCAAAACTTTGATCAAAGGCGTAACTGGTTCTACAATCACAAAAACATCACAACTCCTTCCCTCACTCATCAGTTAGCTTTCTGTGGACAACAGCAGCAACGTCCATAATCAAACTCTCTAGGCTATCGTGGATCCTCACAAAAATTCACTTCTAATGGTCGTGGATTCCAAGCTCAACAGTGAAGGGACGATCCTCTTCATCAAACTCACAACGTAGACCTCCACCACCTGGTGAGCGTCGCATAACACCAGCAGAGAGGGATAAATACTGTGATCAACAATGCCAGTATTACGGGTTGACAGGCCATGTTGCTAAAATATGCTGATGGGTGCCAAAGAAACCCACTTAACAAGATGAGATTCCACAAGCATATGCAACACTTACTTTGGACACCACCATTGCTGACACCGAATGGACAACGAACACTGGAGCTTCCAACTAAATGACAGGTAAGCCAGGTATGTTAACAAACATTCATAAATACTTTGGTGTTGACTTTGTGCTAATCAGAGATGGGTCTTCCATGCCAATTCTTGCAATTAGTGATACTTATATAAAACAAAAGGCATCTACCTTACCTCTCAGTGATGTTCTATTGGTTCCAAACTTAATAAAAAAATTTACTTTCCTTAAGCCAACTAACTAATCAATTTCCTGTTAACTGTGAGTTTTCTAATGTCGATTTTTGTGTTAAGAAATGGAAAACAGGGTAGTGATAATAGGGAAATGAAAGGGTGATCTTTACATGCTACCTGCTTCACCAAAATTGCATTTCTCTTATCGGTTCAAATCAGGCACAGCAGAAGTTTGGCATCAACGTCTAAGCCACCCATAGTCTTTAACATTACAAATGCTAAAAAATAAAGGACTCATTGATGTCGTAGGGACAACAAAATTACAACATCTTTGTGATAGTTGTCAACTAGAAAAACTTAGTCGTTTACCTTTTTTTAAATCGGAACATTCAAATAATGGTATCTTTGAAAAAATTCATTGTAATTTATGGGAACTTGCAAAATTTAAATATTATGCTTGTTTAGAAGATAATTTTTCTAAGTATACTTAGATTATTCTCTTGTGCAACATATCTGATTTTTTTTAATGCATACTTAGCTTTTGAAAAATATGTTGCAAGACAGTTAACAAGCAAATTAAAATCTTTCATTCAGATGGAGGTGGTGAGTTCATCAATTCAAAACTACTGACTCATCTCCTTTCTATAGACATTATTCATCAGATATCATCACCATATACTTCTAAGTAAATAGGAATAGTTGAGAGGCGTCATAGGACCATAAAAGAATTAAGAATGACTGTTATTTCACAGTGGAGCACCCTTATTCTTATGGATAGAGGCCTTCACCACGACAGTATATCTTATGAATTGCTTACCTTTCTCTGCTCTCAACTTTGAAACACCATATTTTAGAATTCATGGGACACACCCAAATTACTCCTCACACAGAGCATTTGGATCTAAATGCTTTCTCTACACTTGGGATATACGAAAACATAAATTTGATCCAAAAACACTTCCATGCATTTTTGTAGGTTACAATGAAAAACATAAAGCTTATAAGTGTTTTCATCCAACAAGTAAAAAAAATTTCATCTCTCATCATGTTGTCTTTGATGAATTAATTTTTTCATATAAGCATATCAACAAATCTTGCAAGACAGCTAATCAACCATATGTAGTTAGTATTTTAATTCTTGGTTACCACATACTAACGTCTCTTCCTCTACATGAGCACTTACAAACTTTGTCCCACTCTCATGTCAAAGTCTGTTACTGCCAAATGACATTAGTATTCCACAAAGTTGCTCCCTATCTACAGATCCCACAGAGTCATAATGGCAATATCCTGTTGTTGAGTCACAGATTAGTCTAGAGATTAATATCGATAATGGGTTTATAATTTCACCAGACATATCTCCTCTATCACAAGGGTGTCAAGAGTCGCAAGAAATTCCTCCTCTAATTATCAGCGAAATACCAGAATCCACCCCATAAAATCTTGGTCCTTCAGCACCGCTGGCTCATTCCACGGTCACTCGGTCTAAAAACAGGTCAGCACTAGAAATTCCTCCACTGATTGTCAGTGAAACACCGGAGTCCTCTCAAAATCTTGTTCTATTAGCATTACTAGTTCATTCCATGGTTACTCGGTCTAAACAGGGTATAGTAAAGTCAAATCCTAAATATGCCTTAACCACTAGCACCTCAACTAATATTCCCCGTTAGCCTCAAAATATTAAAGTTGCACTAGCACATCCTGGTTGGAAAGCAGCAATGGAGGAAGAGCTAGCAGCACTGTATCAAAATGATACCTGGAAATTGGTTCCACGAACACCAAAGATGAATGTCATTGGTTCCAAATGGGTGTTTAAATCAAAGCTCAAACCAGATGGTTTTTTAGATCGAGTCAAAGCATGTTTAGTTGTAAAAGGATATCATCAAATTGATGGAGTAGACTACACCGAAACTTTTTCTCCAGTTATCAAGCTGGGAACATTGTTAAATTATAACCAAAGTAGCACAGAACATTGTTAAACTTTGTTAGCTCAGTTTATTTTTTCTTTAACAACAACTAAAAATATTTTGTCTAAACTTATTTTTTTTAAATTATAACCAAAGTAGCACAGAATTAAAACCTTGAGAGTACTTCACTTGTATATTTTTCCAAATTAAAACCTTGAGAGTACGCGAACATTTAGGCCAAGCCTTTCAACACTAAAATCAATTAATGACTCCAGAGATGTAGCACAGAATTTTTCTTCTCCTTCCATGTTTGGCTCCTCACATCCTCCTATTTCATCTCTCATAACCTGAGCCTCTTTTGAGTTGACTTGTAGTGCAAAGTAGTTCAAAATCTCTGGTACTTTGTCACTCGAAAATGGTATAGACTCTGCAACCTGACGAGGCAGGAAACTAACCTTGGTCCCACTATTTGTAAAATGAATTCTCATCCTTTTACCTGGTTGGAGATCGTTGTACAGGTAGAATATCGTTGAGTCGGGGAGGGCAGACTTTATGGCTGTTTTATGCTTGACAGATCTATATCCTTGTTTATAGGTTCTTTGAGAAGCTGCAACACTTACGATTTCATTAGCGAATTCTGTGGAGATTGAAGGATAATGACTAGGTTGTGGAAGATATCCTAGGGCTTTTGGCAATGGAGTGTTAGGCAACCTTGAGAACCAATACTTCTCAGTAGGTGGAGAAATATCGCTAGGGAGGAAGGTGGCAACTTCCTTTTGTAAAGGGACAGTGTCAGCGGCCGCAGCCGCAGCCGCAGCCACTGTCCTGCGGCTTACACCAATATTGGAATTGTCAGAGGTGGAAAAGTTAATGTGGAGGGAGAGAGTAAGAAAGAAGAGGAGGAGCAGTGCACAAGAATTGGCTGGAGACATTGTTTGAAGCAAGTGGATTGCGAGATATTGAAGCAGGGAGCAAGTGAGACATTATAAATAGAGTGAGGGAGGGGTCTTCCATCAAATCGAACTACAAAAAAGAACTACATAGAAGTAGAAGTTCATAGAAAAAATAATTTATCAGTCTTGGTGGTTTCACTATATATTAAATTTTGTATATTTTTAAGTTTATTTATAATTTAGTGATTTTTTTCATGTCATTTTCTTATTTTATTTTCTGTTGTTCATTTACATTTCATTTCTTCTACTTAAAGAAAATTATACAAAGGAATATCTTTCACTTGTATCCTTCGTGATGCTCCCATAATGGTCACAATACACGTAATTTATAATAAATACACAGAGCTAATTACATCACAAGAGAATTCGTCGAGAGATATATAATTTTTTTTCCATGAATTCACTAATTTGGAAATGGATGTCGTTGAAAAAAAAACTCCTTTATTTATAATTTCAAAAGATAAAAAATAATTCTAAAATTATTACAGAGATATAATAAATCTTTGTATTTGTTCCTTTAACTGAGGATATTTGTATCAGTGGTTTTTATCTTGAAAAAATAAATAAACATAACAAAAGAGTTTTCTTTATTATTATTATTATTATTATTATTATTATTATTATTATTATTATTATTATTATTATTATTTTACATTCTAAGTTCAACTTTGGATTGGTATTAAAATACTTGAAAATTAACTCCAAAATAAGTATCCGGTCAGAATAAATAAACAATTAAACTTAGATTCACGTGTAACATTATGATTATGCACATGTACGAGCTCTAGAAGTAATGTCTGCTAGCTAATGTAATAAAAAAATGGAGACTAGAATGGTGATAAGGGTTTGAATTAAATTATAACGTATATTCAAGAAAGATATGCATCCATTGTGTCGAGAATATTTGAAAGGAGGAGCTTGATTAAATCTTTTCTCTTCATTCTTTTTTTTTTTTTTTTACCTAGTAATGTCTGCTAGCTGATATATGTAGGGCACAAAAATGGAACAATACCTACAATGGTACTTCATTAACTAAATACCAAGGACTCGTAATTAAGTTGCCAACTTGCAAGTTGCTTTATCTTGTATATTGTATGTAACCAATACTTATCTTATACTTTAATGCTTGGATATATCATATAGTTTCTCTGGAGATTCGAATTTCATTTTATTTGAATATTATTATGTATAGGATAGGATTACATTCTATAACAATTCCCATAAATTAAAATTTATGCAAAGAGTTATTATTGATAGAACTATGAATTAAAAATTATAAGTACTAGAAGGAAATTAAAAGTTTCTAGATTGTCATGCCTCCAAGGACTAGATAGAAATTAATAGGTCAATTTGATTTAATAATGAGCCAAATTAAAGTTTAATTTTGTTTAAGAATTAATTTGGATTCAATTGATGTATTTAATTAGTTGTATGTACTCAATTATACTTTAAATGGATCAAATTAATTTTATTTAGGGCTTATTTAATTCAATTAAAAAATTCAGAACTTAATTATGTTTAAGAATTAATTTGGATTCAATTGATGTATTTAATTAGTTGTATGTACTCAATTATACTTTAAATGGATCAAATTAATTTTATTTAGGGCTTATTTACTCAGTTGTAAGAACTTAATTATAATTTAAATAGGTCAAATTAATTTTATTAAGGACTTATTTACTCAGTTGCAAGAACTTAATTATAATTTAAATAGGTCAAATTAATTTTATTAAGGACTTATTTGGTAAAAAATTAAGTTTGGGGGTCCAATTTGGGCTTAAATGAGAATATTGAAATTATATGAGATCTAATTTAATTTTTGTCAAGTCAATTGATTGAAATGAGGGGCAAAATCACTAGAAAAGTAGAGTATTGTAAAATACATAGAAAAAAATAATAAATAAATTAAAATGTTATTATATACATGATAAATAAAAGTAATAATTAAGAAATTAAATAGAAAATATAAAGACATAAAAATGTGATTCAAATTGTAAAGAAAAGAAAAGAATATGGTTTATGTATAACTAGGAAGAATATGGGCTATAAATACCCTATTCATTCCTTTTTCATGGCCGACTATAAACAAAAAAAAAAAGAGGAGGAAGAGTGTAGATTTTCTTCTTAAAAATAAAAAAAAAAACACACCAAATCACTTAGGAATACAAACCTAGAAACTCCAAATAGAGAGGATAACCAATAACAAGGTTTCTAACAAGAATAAAACCAAGTGTAGAATTGAAGAAAAAGAACAAGAAAGGGTCAGTTGCATCTTGAGAAGAGGGCTAAAATATTCAATTTAATGAGATAATTAAAGAAAGGAAAGATATGGTAAAACGAACATTGATTTGCAATCTGAATTTTAGTCATAGACTCCAAAATGTGAAGTTTGAATATGGGTTTATATTATGTATAAAAAAAAAACAAGATGAAAGAAAATGATCGCTTATTGACACGACTAAAAGATTGATCTCTTCTCTCAAGTGTAGGAGTGTCAAAGTAATAAATAACCCGGCAAGACCGGGGTCAAACCACAAGGAGGTTAATTGTACAAATTATAAACAACAATTATAAACAACAATAATAGCAATAACAACAATAACTATAATAATAATAATAATAATAATAATAATAATAGTAATAGTAGTAGTAGTAGTAGTATTAGTAGTACTAATAATAATAATAATAATAATAATAATAATAAAGAAAAAGAAGGAGAAGAAGAAGATGAGAACTTTGAGATGGAATATTAATGTAACGATTAAACAATGATAATAACAAATGTCAAGGTTAGAGATTCCACTAATGGTATGTCAAACAAGTATAATATAAACTCTTATTATTCAATTGGAAACCACACATAAAGAAGGTTCCAATTGGATTATAGATTATTAACATGATTACATTAGTCATCTTATTCAATTAATGCTAATACTTGTAAATTTTGTCAAGCATTCATGATTATAACTTATGTTAACAACAAATTAAGTTCCTTTCATAGGTTAGGTGTCGGTTATACCATACAGTATGGGCTATGAAAGTGTCAAGCATTTGTTCTACCAAGTATTATACAACATAAATCAAGATTAGTTATTTAACAAGCAAAGTATTCAAGAGTGAACAAGATAACAAATACAAAACATGTTAGTATCAAACATTAAAGTCTATATTGAGTTTACACTATACTTATTCTTATACTATTAGTGTAACTTTTTCACCTTGACATAATAAACTTAGCTAGACATAATGAAAGAAAGTAAAATAGATAAACAAAATAAAAATATAAATAAGATAAAAGTTAACAAAGTATAATAAAGAGTAATTGATTGACTATTTTGGGTTGGAAATAGCTCAATGACATCAACTGATTAAGTTGGTGCAAGCATTGCTAAGGAATTGATTAGTCGATTTGGGTAAGGGTTACTAATGACACTAATAGGAGTTATTAGTGTCGGCAATGACCACCTCATAATTTAGGGCGAATAAGAAAAAGGGTAAATTAAAAAAAAATGTGATAATAAAAAACAATATCATAAATAGGTTGTGGAAGGATAGGTGTTAGATGTAGAAAAGGATCTTATTTTGCAGATCAACCATGATTATACCCTATCAAGTAGCTACTTGTATGCGTTGATACATTTAGTAATGACCCTCCATTATTTGGTTGTATTTTATTTATTTCATATAATTATTCTCTTGTTTTGATGTCCCATTCACGTCAGGAGTATAATTTAGATTTGTTTTATCCTTTTTTGTATAAGTTAGGAACTTAGGTATTATCCATGTATTTTGTTCTACAATAAACATGTAACTTGAATATAATAGTATATTCATATTATTTTTGTGTTTGGAATATTAAATGTATAAACATATGCTTGGAGATATTATAATGTATTAATTTATCTTTACAATGTTAAAATGTGTTGTGTTTATACATGGAATTTCAACGCTTGGATTGTTCTCTTAATTACTAATTTATGCATATGATATGAGATGGAGATTAAGTATGAAGTTTTATCCTGAGTATATTATCGAATGCATTAAATGGTTGAATTGGACCTATTGTGGATGTCTATATGGATGGGATGTGATTATAAATGCATGCAAGGTAAATTATCAATAACGTGGGACTTCCCGGTATAGGGGAGTCTCTGCAAAAATTTCATTAGAAATTTTGATGAACTCGATGTAAAAATAAATAAATTATGCTCAATTTACCCTTTACGTGGAAGTTAAATGGATAAACTAATTTAACCTTTTGAGGTTGTTGCATTTAGGGTCAATTACAGGTCAAATTAAAAAAAAAAAACATTCAGAGTCAAGGGCTAATTTACAAAAGGTGTTGAACTATGGGGACCCAATTGATTGAAATTAGGGATACAAATAAAAAAAATTAAAATTTTAATGGTCAATTAAAGGTCAAATTACTTATATTCAAAACTAAAGACTAATGAAAAAGGTGCGCGAATCTAGGGCTTATATTAAATTTTTTTTAGGGATAAAATTAAAAGTTTAAAGTCAATATCAAAGGCGTAGTGGAGATAAATCAGAATTTGAAGGATCAAATTGAATTTTACCAAAATACCATTGTTTTGTTTACTCTTCATCTTCTTCATCTTCATTTTTCCTCAGGGGCTACTTTGTTTGTGCATTTAATACCTTTAATCTTCACCAAATTTGACAAAACTTACTACACCTTAGTATAGTCTGTTTTGACTGATTGATACCATAATAGTCGTGGCTCCAACCTACAGAGGCCAACACGGGCAACCTTTAACTACCAAATTTGACGGTTGATGGTGCTTTTTTTGAACTAATGGTTGGGATCCTTTCCAACCAAACAAAGGGCCAAGATTTAGCACCATTAAAGAGAAAACATCTATCTTCCACACCTATATATAAATAGAGGCGGATTTCATGGTCTAAGCATGGAGAAAATCAAGTTCAAAGCCGGCCAAAAATTAGCTTTCCCTAATTTTCCTTCTCAATCGATACTTCTCTCTCTTCTTTCTCTCTTCTTGTTG